CCGCGTTCCCCCCCCCCAGCCCCAATATTCTTTTTCTTTTCTGTTCTGAATATTTAATACTGAAAAAACGTGGGGGAGCTAGTAGGTGGAATGGTGATTAAAGCACTGGATTCCCACATGGCTGACCACAGTTCAAGTCCTAGACACAGTGGCTTGAAAAGTACACCAGGTATGTGTGTATGCATGCCTAAAATCCCAAGAGGGAACTGGAGAAGAAGGAATCGCAGTGTGGCCATGCCTCCTTGGCGGGGTTGGGGGGATTTCTCACTTTCTCTTTCTCTGTTTCTGTCCCTCCACAGGCTCATGTGCCCATGGCAAAAGCCTAAACAAACAAAATTAAAAATACAGACAAAAAATTTTGATTAAACTTCACCTCCAGGGAGGCCACCACTAGCCTGTATGGTATTTTTGTGCAAATTAGAAAAAGACTCTCCTTGGGCCAGCAGGTGGCATGGAGGTTAAGGTGCTGGATCCCACATGACCAGCTGCACAGTTTGAGTCCCAAACCTGCCAGCCTGAAAATCACACTAGGCATGTGTGCATGTATACCCAAAATCCCAAAAGGAGGCTGGAGGAGAAAGGACTGTGGCATGGCCATCCCCCTGGGGCGGGGGTAAAGCACTGGATTCCCACATGGCTGACCACAGTTCAAGTCCTAGACACAGTGGCTTGAAAAGTACACCAGGTATGTGTGTATGCATGCCTAAAATCCCAAGAGGGAACTGGAGAAGAAGGAATCGCAGTGTGGCCATGCCTCCTTGGCGGGGTTGGGGGGATTTCTCACTTTCTCTTTCTCTGTTTCTGTCCCTCCACAGGCTCATGTGCCCATGGCAAAAGCCTAAACAAACAAAATTAAAAATACAGACAAAAAATTTTGATTAAACTTCACCTCCAGGGAGGCCACCACTAGCCTGTATGGTATTTTTGTGCAAATTAGAAAAAGACTCTCCTTGGGCCAGCAGGTGGCATGGAGGTTAAGGTGCTGGATCCCACATGACCAGCTGCACAGTTTGAGTCCCAAACCTGCCAGCCTGAAAATCACACTAGGCATGTGTGCATGTATACCCAAAATCCCAAAAGGAGGCTGGAGGAGAAAGGACTGTGGCATGGCCATCCCCCTGGGGCGGGGGGTGATTTCTCATTTTCCCTGTCTTTGTCTCTGTCTCTCCTGGCAATTGCACACACCTCATAGGAAAAAACTAAAAGGAAAAAAAGAAAAAGACTCTAAGAAAACACATCTGTGGGGACACTCAGGTTGGTGAGGGGATTCAGTCTCTCCTCAGCCCCTTGACCAAGAACATTTGCTTAGTGCGCAATTTCAGAACTGCATATGGCTGCCATTCCTCAGGGGCAGGCCTCTGACTTCCAGCAGGGGCCTAGCTCTCCATTTGCCTAATGTTCCAGCTTTTTAAGGGTTAACGCTCAAGAAGGCTTATCTTACTGGAGCCTTTTTTTTACTTCTTTTGGCAGTTTTTTCATTTTTCTGTACAGCATTCTATATGAGGAACTTTCAGGCATAGAAAAGAGCAGGCCAACCTCTTTGGCACCTGCACTTGTTTGTGTTTTGGTAGTGGGTGGAATGTGTGCTTTCTCCAGATGATGTCATCATTCCTTTTAAATATTCCCCATGTACTCCCTCCCCCCATATACTCTTTGCATAGGCTTTGCAAAAGACAGAATGTAATATGTTTTTCTTTCCCTCCCGCAGAGATTTGTATTGAGATGTTAAGACAAAGAGGAGATAGAAAGACTGGCTTTCAAATCCAGCACATTTTCAGGAGACACACACAGCTAGGCTAGGCCACTCTAGACACCAGCCTGTTAGCTGTCTTCTGCATTGTCTTGGGAAAGTTATTAGCAGAACCAAAATAGAAAGGGCAAAAGTCCTTGGGCTAAAGGATTTCAAATATCATTTCAAAATAAGTAGTACTATATATTCCGTTTCCTGTTGCTATGTTACTCCTCAGAGCTTTGTGGTTTAAAGCAATGTCCATTTTCCATTTCTCTTGAGTCATTCGTGTGGACTGGGCATTTTACTGACATAAGTGGGGCTTGGCTGGTCTCAACTCACTCACATGTCACAGTGGATGGGCAGCTGTATGTGTCAACTTTGCTGAGTTGTATATCCAATTTGTCAGTCAAATACTTATCTAAATGTTGCTATGCAGGCATTTTATAGATGTGGTCAACACCTATAAACACTTTTATTCTTAATTTTTAAAAAACATTTCATCTCTATACATCATTTGGCTTGTAAAGAAAATTTATCCAACGTGAAATACTTCTCAGACCAGTCCAGTTGAGAACACTATACATGTTAATCATCAATAGATAATAAACCATTTCTGCATTCCACAAATGTCTTGCCTCTGCCTGAGAGTTTCTAGCCTGCTAACTTTCCTTATGAGTTTCAGGCTTGCCTGCCTAGTCCCCACAACTATAAACTGACTTCTTACCATCAATCTCATTGACATAGTCTTATAGAGACATAGATATAATTAGACAACTGATTCTGTTTCTCTGATAAGGCCTTAATTGATACATTGGCCTCAACTGGGATGACTCAAACTCTGTTCCACATGGTCTCTCATCCTTAAGCAGGCTAGCTTGGATTGGCCCGAGAGAGGGAATGAAAGTATGTGGGGTATGGAAGTATGCTCTCAGCCTGTGACAAGCACTCTGTCACCTCTTTCACACTCTGTTGGCTGAGCAGCAAGTCACAGCCTGGGACAGGTTCAGTGATTGGGGAAATACTCACCTCTAGGTGAGAGTATCTGCAAATTAACATCACAAGGGGTAAGGATGCAGGGAAAGGTGAAAATCGGAAGCCCCATTTGCCTTTGATCTACCGCAGACTGTTTGGTACAATTGGACAGAAGAAGACAAACTTCAAAACTCCTTTTAACCACCAGGGTGTCTTTTTCCTCTCTTTAGGATAACTAAAACTATAGCTATGCACCATATAATGATGTTACAGTTAACAACAGACTGGATATGCATTGGCAGTCCCATAAGATTATAATGGAGCTGAAAAATTCCTATTGCCTGGTGATATAGTAACTGTCATGTCATAGCACAAATGCAGTGTTTGTGGTGGTGCTGGTGTAAAACAGACCTTCTGTACTGCATATTAAAGTTAGCATATATGATTATGTACAGCAGCATAATACTTGATAATGATAATAAACAACTGTTACTGGCTTATATACCTACTATAGTTGCAAGCAAGATGATATATAGTATAGATACTATATAGTAGATGCAGTGCTCTATTCTTCTACAAAAAAAAAAAAATTACATATACTGTCTTAAGCTGGCAGTGGCCTCAAACATCTCATGTTTACCTATGTCCTAACACATAGTGTCAATTCACAAAATGGGAATGATAATACCTCCTTCAGTAGGCTGCTCTGTGAACAAATGAAGTGAAACCATGATAAATGTAGTTATCCTAACCAACATAGAAACCGTTCAGCATTTAGAATGCATCAAAGTGCTTTTTTATTGTATTTATTGTCCATGTACTTCACCTGTTCACACTTTTCTCTGAAACAAACAATTCTGCATTAGACCTGAGCACTATTGCACAAGCAGGTCAGAGCTGGTGAGAGACATACCTTCTGTGACTGCTATAGTGTATCTATGTGCCATAGAACTTGCAGATTCAAAGCCTAGACCCAACAAAAAGAAATATTAATATGCTGATGGCTTTAAGTAACTAGCTCACAGCAAATTATAGTGATAATAATGAAGATAAAATAATCATAATTAATAATGAAAAAACAAGAATAACAGCAGCAAAGCCTACATTCTGAAAACTGTGAGTGCCGATTTCAGCATGTGCACACTGTCTATATAGGAGCATTGGGTATTGTCGGGGCTTGTCCAACAGCTGGATCCTTAGGGAATGCTGAATCAGAGTCTTCCAAATGAAAGCATGCTGATTTCAGGTTATGGATTTCAAATATTTTACCCTTAATAACATATTTAGTGCATTACTAGTAAATGTCTTTTAAGAATAGGCAAAAAGCGCAGTTCTGTATGTTCACGTCTTTATGGATCCAAGAAAGGAATTTGCAATTGTGGATAAGTTCA